TCATGAATTTGATGGATTAATGATGGATTTGGGATAGATAGCTACAAACTATCTTGTTGTTGCTGTTGTTGTTGTTGCTGTTGTTATTCTAGATGAAATCGCCCTTGACCGATATATTTTTTTGTGGGGAAAGGGAATGAAATGAAGAGAAACATTCAGTTTTTGACGTAACCAGTTTTTGAAGTGTTCATCATTCCACGCTCATTTCCAATGTCCGTAATTTTTCTCCTGACGCAATCATCCATGTATTAATCAATACGTCTATTATATTGTGATAAACGTCAGTTTTTTGCTCACATCCGGTTTCGGCATCATCATCATCATCGCCAATATTCGATTACTTGAACTGAATTATGTTTGATTGAACGAGTTCATTAAAAATGAAGNAACAGTTCCTTATTAACAACTTCTCCTGCACACAGTCATCCTTTCTTCTCGTTCCAGCTTTTTCATTGAACAACTAATGCACAAAAATGCTCCATGTTCCAAAGAATGAACCAATTATCAGTTTGATATAATCAACCATTTAGCTACAATGAGCAGTGCTGAACCGCTTTCGATGGCTGAATTTCAAAAAACGCAAAAATAATTATCCCTAAATCAAATCGAATCATCCTTGTGTTACGCTATGTTGAAGATAAAAATCGTACCTTTTTAAAAAATATATATATCATTCGAGTTATAGACTCTCGGCGGAATCCAAGCGGTCAGCTCAACAGCCTGTGATTCGCTGCATTCGCCGAGCACAACATCGCCATCGCGAAGCTCAGAATCGTCGATCGCTGACACTGCTCTTTCATCATCCACTTTTCGAAACTTCCAAAAGGTACTTTCGAATTGCATTGATTTATTTCTCTGTTAGAAAATGATATCTACTGAGCAAACATGTCATATGCAATGAGAACATCTCACAGTTTATCATCATGAACACACGCTTTGGGTATTTCTATTTGTTTCCTACTAAATTGATGTTTTCTTGGCGTTTGAAATGCGAATAAGAGCTCGCATTCGATTTGAATCTACTTGTTTGACCTCACTGAAGAGATAGATTGGCAATAGCACGCAACACAACTGCGGTATATTACTACTCAGAGCAGATTCAGTGGATGCTCGACGACTACCGGATTTCGATTTATTGATTCATGNTGAACGAAAGATATTCACTGTTTTCATTCATTAATCATTTGTGCATACTTAACTTGATTAATAACTCACTTGCACTTTCTCTACAATCACTTCAAGGAACCAACCATTCGGTCAGCATCGAAATTGCGACATTTAATTAAAATAGCTTCAGAACAAGAGTTGAACATATTTTCAAACCTCTTAATTGATTTATTTTTATTTCTCATAATGATTAGTTGCTTTATGATGGAAATGGAAACATTTGATTACATTCCACGAATAATTGATCTCATTAATATTTATGAACATTAATGAATGCGACTGAATCGAGAACAAGACCAAACACCAAAGGGAATCAAAAAAAAAATTCTGCCTTCTTCAAGAGTGCGACTGGTAATTCGTCTTTCCGATGTGTTGTACTGGATGAATTTGGCCGTCGTAAACACTAATGTATTTCAGGTTGCTGCCTCACACAATCCCATGCTACACCATCAACAACAACACCAAACGCACACGGCTTTCCATAAAAATAATCCAATGCTACCGAATATTCTGCAGCAAATGACAGCATTACACGGAAGTCATGTAAGTTCTGTGCACAATTCAAGTTACTCTCATTTCCACTACTACATCTCTACAACTGGTAATTGCGAATCAGCAAACTTGCGTCAAAAATCTCTCTACATTGCACTCGTTTGTGAGATCACGTTCGAAGATAATCAAAGAATTGAAATTTTGACGAGTGTAGAACTGGTTTTATTGCTGCTGCTGCAAAAGGATGCTCCGATGTCAAAGAAGAAACATCAAAAGCTTTGATATTATGAATAAATTCGGAATATAATAGAAGCTGAGAACACCATTCGAAACGAAACACATCTGCATTTTCATATCATTTTATCTAGAGAATC